AGTATTTCAGTATTGCAGGGGCTGCCACAAAGAAGAGAGGGTCAAATTATTCTCCAAAGCACCAGAGGGCAGGACAAGAAACAATGTTTGGAAACCAATCAAAGAGAGAAGCAACCTAGAATTAAGGAGAAACTTCCTAACAGTGAGGACAATTAACCAGTGGAACAGCTTGCCTTTAGAAATCATGGGCGCTTTATCACTGGAGCAGGGGTGGGTTCTAATTTTTTTTACTAGCGGTTCTGTGGGTGTGGCTTATTTTGTGGGTGTGGCTTGGAGGTCATGTGACTAGGTGGGCGTGGCTAGCTGGTCAGAGTCATTTCTGGAAGGTCCTCACACTTACGACCAGTCCTTGCACTTACGACCCAACTCATTTGTTTGCTTTTAACACTGATCAGCTGTAGGACGGCCCTTTGAAGCCCCGCGGCAAGAGTTTAAACAGTTTTTTCCCCTCTAGTCATCAGCTGGGACTCAGGAGGCAGCAATAGATTGGGGGTAGGACCAAATAAAAGGTAAGAATAACATGGGTGGGTGGGTGGTGGGACGGTCGGGGTGGGGGAGAACGGTTCGGTAACGTCATATCGTCACCGCTACCGGCTCGGCTGAACCGGACCAAACTGGGAGGAACCCACCACTGCACTGGAGGTTTTAAAAAGAGACTGGACAGTCACTTGTCAGAGATGGTATAGGTTCTCTTGCTTGAGCAGGGAGCTGGATTAGAAGACCTCCAAGGTCCCTTCCAGTTCAGTTCTGTTCCGTTCCGTTCCGTTCCGTTCCATTCCATTCCATTCCATTCCATTCCATTCCATTCCATTCCATTCCATTCTATTCTATTCTAAATGCTGCTGAACAGGTCAACGAAGATTGAGCTGTCTGTGTGCTTTTCTGTCTGTCTGCTCAGGGAATAAAAAATAGAAAACTAGTACAGGTATTCCTTGACTTATGACCACAATTGAACCCAACATTTCTGTTGTTAAATGAGGCAGTTAGGTGAATTTTGCCCCATTTTACAACCTTACTTGCCACAGTTTTTAAGTGAATCGCTGCAGTTGTTAATAACATGGTTGTTAAGTGAATCTGACTTCTCTATTGACTTTGCTTATCAGAAGGTTGCAAAAGGTGACCACATAACTCTGGGACACAGTAACCATCATAAATATGAACCAGTTGCCAAGTGTCTGAATTCTGATCACATGACCATGGGGATGCTGCAATGTTCATAAGTGTGAAAAATAGTCATAAGTCACTTTTTTCTGTTCCGTTGTAAACCTAACCCTAACCCTAAATGAACTGTTGTACAGTTGAGGATTACCTCAAGGTGTCTTAAACAAAAAAAATTAAAAGATGTCAGAGGCTGATTGCTGTATTTTATGATGTATTTTATAATTATATCCTACATAGATTCCATGGTAGGAACAAAAAACAGATGGTTCCTTTCTGCATGTTACTACAATAACGATGAAATCCAGACTATCAGAGAAAATTGAACATCTTGCTAGTAATAATGTGGTTGCTTTGGTTTGTCTATATCTAGAAAACCAAATATTCAAGTGTATAAATAATGGTTCATTACCAAACTCTGCTGGGAATTAGACAATGACAACATATTTAATGTGTAATTTTTTATTGCCATATACCACGGGTGTCAAACTCATGCCATCACATTGCCGTCATGTGACCTTTTATCAGGGGTGGGTTCTAATTTTTTTTACTACCGGTTCTGTGGGCGTGGCTTATTTTGTGGGCGTAGCTTGGAGGTCATGTGACTGGGTGGGCATAGCTAGCTGGTCATGTGACCGGGTGGCCATGGCTATGTGTATAGGGACTACTCAGAGGGCTGAAAAAAGTCAGTTCTGACTGGTCCTCGCACTTTTGACTGTTCCTCACACTTATGACCATCCTCACATTTATGCCTGTGCAGCATTCTTAACAACCATGTCACTCATCTCACAACTGCTTCTCTTCACCATGGTGACAAGATAGGGCAAAAACATAAAATGTGAGGACAGTCGTAAGTTCAAAGACTGGTCAAGTGCGAGGACCAGTCAAAAATAACTTTTTCAGCCCTCTGAATAATCCATATGCACAAAAGGATACAGCAATAGAGAGGGATGAAGGAAGGAGAAGAGAGATGGAAGAAGGAAGGAGAGAGAGGGAAGGAAGAGAAGGGAGGAAGGAAGGGAAGGGAAGGGAAGGGAAGGGAAATTAGAGTAGGAGTGAGGGTAAGAGAGGGAGGAAGAGAGGAGGAGAAGGAGGAAGAGGAAGTAGGGAGGAGAAGAAGGGGGGAGGAAGAGAAAGTAAGAAGGAAAGAAAAGAGAGAGGTGGTAGGTTTGAGGAGAAAGATTGCTGTACAGTAAAAAAGATGAAATGGAAGAAAGGCAACCCCAAACAAATATAAAGATATTAAGATAAAGAATGAATTGTTAAACTTTAAAGAATAAAAGAGAACAAATATGAATAAATAGCAATAATTAGAAACACACATACAAACATACAATTTATTTTCTTTGAACGGAGTATTTGGCCAGTTCACAAATTTAAACAGTGTTTAGTCATTTCAATTAAATTTACAATTTCTATATTTCCTTTTTGCCATATTTATTCCTCATCTATTTTTGTAAAAAACCAATATTACCCTTCATCCTCATCTCTAATCTTAATCAAATTCAAATTTTCCCTTCTATTCTATATTATACCCCTTCCCATTGTCATCTATTTTTATATCCATCCTCACATTGGTTAATTATGTAATATTACAGTTGTTTAATACAAATTCAACATTTTAATATAAATCAATTAGTTATATAACTATCTTTTTTGTATATTAATCAATATGAACATGAATATTCCAATTATGTCCATGCAATCCAATTTCTTACAAATCAATTAATTATATTTACCAATAATAATAAACCAAATAATTTCCTCCATATATTCCTCCAAACCACAATTTAACCATTTCTGCTTTCCACACAATATACAATTAATAGTATCTCAATTATTACAATTCCCTAGTTAAATAGAGCTTTTTTTATTTTGTGTTTTAAAATCTTGAACTCTCCTCTTTTGCCCTAAATTTCCCATTGTTTGCACCTACCTTTTTTGATGAGGAAAAAGAAAAGAAATCTGCCTCATAGAAAAGAAATTTTCCAACATAACAGCCAACACCCTGCTTTACTTTCAATTTCGTTTTCAGCTTGATTTGCATAAGGAGAAAAAAAAATCTGCTCCAGCAATTTAGCTCTTTGCAGCAAGCAGCTGAGCCCTGCACAAAACAGCTGAGAGCAAATCAGCTAGAGTTGGGAGGCAGATCTAATCAACAGGCTAATTAGCCTATGCTGAAGCTGAAAGGAGTTGTTTTTTTCTTGCTGTTTGCTTGCAAGTAGGTAACTGCTGTGAGGCACAGGCCAAAGGGTGGGGGCCACCCTCCTTGCCACTTAGCGCACCCGTAGTCCCCTTTTGCCTCTAGTGCTCCCCTGCTGCCCCCCTTGCCTCTTACTGCCCCCCTAAGGCATGGTACCGCCCACTTTGGGAACCACTGGCTTAACTACTTAACAACCAGTTCTACCGAAGTAGAATCCCACCACTGGGTCTACCCATTTATTTTTGCAGACACCAGTCTACTCATTTGTTTTCTTTTAACACTGATCAGCTGTAGGGCGGCCCTTTGAAGCCCTGTGGCAAGAGTTTAAACAGTTTTTTTCCCTCTAGCCATCAGCAGGGACTCAGGAGGCAGCAATAGATTGGGAGTGGGGCCAAATAAAAGGTAAGAATAACTGGGGATGGGGGGTGGGACGGTCGGGGTGGGGGAGAACGGTTTGGTGACGTCATATCGTCACCGCTACAAGCTCACGGGAACCAGGCCGAACCGGGAGGAACCCACCATGCCTTTCATGACTTTTTCCCCCTTAGCGGAGCTGGGGTGGGCGGGGCCGGTGCGTGCCGCCAGTTTGACACCCCTGCCATATACGAATCCAGCCAATACAATAACTTTTTATATCATAAATTCTAGGTAGCTATAATAATAGTTGAAGTTTGGAGATTAAATGTGACTAAAAACTGCTAAGTCATTGGTTGTCCTTACCACCCATCTATAAAGGTTTCCATATATTTTGTTTCCTCTTATATTTCATTCTGTTTATCCCCCCCCACCTTCATGGAGAAGCCATGTGTTTTAACTTTATAAACTATATTTGTTCTTGAAGTTCTATACAAGCGTTTGAAAGCTTTTTTATGCGGGTTGAGGGGGAGGGAAGGAAAAAGGAAATTCCACCGTATCAATATCCTAGCATGTCAATTGTAAACAAAAGTGGGTATGTTATAAATAAAAGAAAAACTAAACTGTATTTTTCTAAAAGGAGGAATTCCTTTGTAGAACTGGGAGATGTATGAAGAACAAGAGAAATTTACGAAGGCCATACTGGTTTCTTGAATTGTTATAGCAAAATTTACCAACTAGACTGGTTTGTCCACATGTGAAATTTATATTGTTGTTTTAGAAAAATGGATATTGCAATGTAGTAATTTGGCATGTTATGACAAGTTTTAGACTTGAAAATGCCTGATGTTAAATATTGTTTATATTATGGAAAATCCTCTTATTAGTTCAACAATTCATGCAGGTATTTGGGGGGGGGGTGGAGAGAATAAAAGAAACACAGGTGTACAAATAATATAATTGTTATACAAACTTTGAGATTGTCTTGTTAATCAGTAATGTGAATTTGGTTTTAAAAGTAAAATCTAGCCCATTGTAAAAATGACACGTCATTTTATGGATGTTTCCAAATAGTTTTCTTGGCAACAATATGGAAGCAACTTGATACTGCCTTCTGGGATTTTTTTTCAGCTTTCCAAACTAACCATATTGTTTTGATCTTGCTTAGCTTTTGAGCTCAAAGAAGGTTAATTAGGTGCTACCATTTCGCCAGGCAATTTTGTCTTAGAAGGAGCAATATTAAATTACCAGGATGGTAGAAAATAAAGGTAACTTAGTTTTGAGAACAAGTATGTATACATCTTTAATATATTAATTACAATGTTTCCATGTTGATTTACATTTCACATATAAGCACAGGAAAGCTTTGAAAGACAGTTATCTGTCTGATTTTTCAGTTACATTATTACTTCTCTTTGAACAGCCTACATTTAGTCCTTTGTATACACTATATGTAAAATACAGTTATTAATCAAAAAGTAGTACAATATTGTATTGTATGGAGCTTATTCACATGAATAACTGAGGAATAGCTCATGATTTAATTAATTAATCTGTCAGGTTGGAACCCTGACAGTACCATCGTATCTTTCTCATCTCATGGTCTGTTTTCAAGAGAAATGATTAAGTAGTTAACAAAAAGAAAAATGGACTATACACGAGTCCTGTGTAAGTGAACTTGTAATATAATATGAAAACTAGTGTTAAATTTACAAATTTCCCAAATGTAAAATCCCATTTACAATCTCAACACATTAAGAGATTCCTAATAAAAAAGAAAAGGATCAGACAAATTACATCAAGTGTTAAAGGACCACCTGCTAACATGATCTACTCTACCTCCATGTTTCATTTATTTAAACTGTTCCTTTTATCAGTGAGATGATTGATATGGGAAAAGGCACTCCTTTAGATATCCAGATATCAAGCCATTTCTTCTTTGAAATTCAAGACCTGAACTTTGACTTTGGTCTCAAAACACAATTTTTAACAGAATTGAAGATCTTTAATAGAATTGGAAATAATTTTAGATGTTTTTTACACACACACACACACACACACGATAAAATCCTGTTTATATTAAGAAAATTGTTATTTGACATATATTAATACAAAAATGTATATGATCTACGTGCTGCAGATTATATGAATTAATATTTCCTCATCATTTGACACTTTTCCTCTATAAGATAAATGCATGAAGAACTTCTTTGAAATGAAGCCTGGTCATCATTTATGGACCTACAAGGTACAATATGGGCAACAATGATCTTACACACACAGATAAGACTTTTTGGAAAACACTGGACAAATTGTTCAAATCATGGTATTCTAAACACACTAAACTATTCACACCTTGAAAACAATGCCATAATTATCAAAGTCAATGGATTTGGTAAAATAAACAGATGAAAATAAATTTATTTAACAAAATTAAGAAATTTAGATTGGGGAATGATATATATGTAGAATATTTCATCTGCAAAAAGCATTTTAAAAATACAGTAACTTGTGACATTATGATTAGCAAACTAGTTAAGCATGTACCGGATGACATGGCAACAGAGTTGGCTTCAAATCACAATGTTTGTCAACATTGATCTCATCAAAGTGGTGATGTATTAAATGTGATTTTGTAAGATTCAACCCTTTCAACATTTTCATTAATGACATTGATATGGAAGGAATATTTAATGGAGTTACAGATCACAAAGGCATTAGAGAAGCAGAATGAAATGACTTCTAATTTCTTCAATGAACATCTACATTCTTCTGCATGGCTTAAACGGCATTCTTTGTCCAGAATTATTGATCTGTGCTCCTGAAATTACAACATGTAATCAAAAGATATAATTCATAACACATACATTCTGCTCAAATTATACTGCTACATGTAGAAATTAGTCACAAATATATCTATAGTTTAAAAATTAGAATTATATGAAACTTACTATAAAAATGCAACAGATTTTACAGTCATGTGAAAAAATAAGAACATCCCATATAAGCTTTCTTTTTTAACATGTGGACAAATCATTATTTAACATTAATTCAAACAGTATATAGGCAGTTCTCATTTAGCGACTATTGTCAGCAAGTCAGTCATTAAATAAAGTGGCGGCTATATGAAATTTCAACTGTACTTAGGAATCTTACTCAGTTTTCCTTTGCTTTACAGAACCACAAGAGTCATAAATGTGAGGATTAGTCATAAAGTTGTTTTTTCATCACCACTGAAATAGTGAACAGTTGCTAAATAAGGCAGTTGCTAAACAAGGATTGCCTGTATAAAGATATATGTAATGTAATTAAATAAAATACATATACATATACATATAATATATTTATTGAAATTAAATTTTAAAAAAACTTCTCATTATCAATAGAGGCTTCCTAGCTTCATGTATACTTGAGAAAGGGGAAAAAAATAAACCAAACTTCCTGTCCACAATTTTCTTGGCTCTAACACTGTTCAGGGTTTCCTGCATTATTACTTATATGAGAAAAAGTTGGAAGGACTGGGAAAATGCATTTTGCCTTAAAATGTCCCAGGAAAGGGAAGAGAAATGGAGATCATCCTTAGATCTATACTGTATTAGACTAGATTAGAGTAAACTAGACTAGATTAGATTAGATTAGACTAGTCTCTCTCTCTCACACACACACGTTTGGAATCACCTTTTTTAAAAAAGTTCTGATATCCCAATACTTTACCTGTCAAGCAATTATTTGTGTACTACTGAATTAGGAGCAATTACAGTATGCAATGGTTTACATGTATGCAACTTATAACGCTATACTTAAATAATTATTATGAAGAAAAATAACCTTTTCTGGCTGTCTAAAAATAAGTAGAATACTTTAGAAATACTGTTACACAGGAGGAAACTTTATTACTTTTTCACCCTCAGAAAAACAAATTCAGCCTAATTTCTTTAGCAAAGGACAGGATTGTTAAAGAACTGGCTCCACTCTAAAACCAGTTATTAAGACAAGAGAAAGGGATTACCGGTAAATCCACTATGCATTTAACCAAATTGCTTTCCCAAAAAGGAACCAATGAGCCTTCAAGAAATAAAAGTAAGAGCAGCTCCTGTAGCAATTTCATTGTTAGGCACTGACTTAAAATACCGTAAATTCCACTGAACTGATTGATAGCTAAATATGCTGAAAATGTAATATAAGGTGTTTCTGCCTCCTCAGTAAAGAATATCCTGAGTTTATACGAACTGAAGTTGTGACCTTTGCATGTTCCACAGTTCCATGTTCAGATCATCGGCATATTTCTTTTACCTTCAGTATATTTGAAGTACACCACACCTTAAACCAGTCAGACTCGTTAGCAGCACTCTTTCCATGTGATTTATACAGGGTAGACCTTCGATTAAGAGGGTGCCAATATTTTGTTCCCCCTTCTTGGATTACTGCCTTGTTGTGGCGAAGGGGCTTGCGTAGCTCAATGAAGCTATGAGCTATGCCGGACATGTCATAGCAGAGTGCTCTGACAAAACATGATGCACCGGAGAAGGAAATGGCAACCCACTACAGTATCTTTGCCATGAAAACCCCATGGACGGTACCAAATGGAAAAAAGATATGACGCTGGAAGATGAGCCCCTCAGGTTGGGAGGTGTCCAATATGCTTCTGGGGAAGAGCAGAGGGCTACAGTATTACTAGTAGCGCCAGAAAGAGTGAAACGACTTGGTCAAAGCTGAAAGGACATTCAGTTGTGGATGCATCTGGTGGTGAAAGGAAAGTCCGATGCTGTAAAGGTCTATTCTCCATACGAACCTGGAATGTAAGATCCATGAATCAAGGCAAGCTGGACATGGTCAAACAAGAGATGACAAGACTGAACATCAACATCTTAGGAATCAGCGAAGTAAAATGGACAGGAATGAGTGAATTTAATTCAGATGACCATCAGGCATACTACTGCGGGCAAGAATTCCTCAGAAGAAATGGAGTAGCTTTCATAGTCAATAAAAGAGTAGGAAAAACAATACTGGGATACAATCCCCAAAATGATAGAATGATTTCAGTTTGAATCCAAGGCAAACCATTCAATATCACTGTAGTCCAAGTCTATGCCCCAACCACTGGTGCTGAAGAGGATGAAATTGACCAGTTCTGTGAAGCCCTACAGCACCTTATAAAATTAACACCAAAAAATGTTGTCTTGTCATCATGGGGGATTGTAATGCTAAAGCAGGAAGCCAAAAGATAACTGGAATAACAGGCAAGTTTGGCCTTGGAGTACAAAATGAAGCAGAGCACAGACTGATAGAATTTTGTAAAGAGAATATGATGGTCATAGCAAACACTCTTTTCAAACAACCCAAGAGACGACTCTACACATGGACATCACCAGACGGTCAACACAGAAATGAGACTGACTATATGCTCTGCAGCCAAAGATGGAGAAGCTCTATACAGTCAGTAAAAACAAGACCAGGAGCTGACTGGCTCAGATCATGAGCTTCTTGCTGCAAAATTTAGGCTTAAATTGAAGAAAGTATGGGAAAGCACTGGGCCCAGGGCCGGATTTTCCTATAGGCTAACTAGGCTTCAGCCTAGGGCCTCAAGATCAAGAGGGGCCTACACAGTGGTGGGATTCTGGGGGTTTTAGGGGGTTCGGCTGAACCCTTTGTTAAATTGCTGGCTTGCCCGCCCCTCACCCCGCTCCGCCTCCCACCCGTGCGGCGCCAGCCTACCGTAGCCAGGGGTAGGCAATTGTGGCTCTTTTACAACCTGTGGACTTCAACTTCCAGCTTGGCTGTCTCAGGAATTCTGGGAGTTGAAGGCCACAGGTTGTAAAAGAGCCACAATTGCCCACCCCTTCCCTAGCCTGAGTTCCGCTGCCTGGGATCCACGTGGGCTGCCACGTGGTTCCCCACTGGCTCCGGACGCAAGAGAGCAGGATGGAGAAAGCAACTTCCACACCTTCACTCGCCCTCACTCTCTGCTCTGTTGGATCGCCAGCCGTTCGCTTACCCCGCCCACTCCCAATCTATTGCTGCCTCCGATGGCTAGAGGAAAAAAAAACTTCAAATTCTTGCCGCGGGGCTTCAAAGAGCCGCCCTAGAGCCAGTGGTGCAGCCGAACCCTTTGTTAAATTGCTGGCTTGCCCCGCCCCTCCGCACCACTATTTATTGCCAATAAATAGTGGTGGGCGAGGGGCGGGGGAGCCAGCAATTTAACAAAGGGTTCGGTGTTTTTTTGTAAATTTATTGGCCCACGGAGCTTCAGCATCGGCTAATTGGCCTCCCGGCTCTCAGCTGATTTGTCTCAGCTGTTTTGCTCAGGGCTCTTCTGCTTCCTTGCAAAAAGTGCTGATTTTTTTCCCCCTAGCATTGCTGAGAAACGAAACTGAAACTGCTTTGCTGTTGCTGCAAGGTTGGAAAATTAGGCAGGCAGAATTCTTTTCTTTTTCCTCACCAAAAAAGGTAGGTGCAAACAATGGGAAATTTAGGGAAAAAGAGGAGAGTTCAGGATTTTAAAACACAAAAGAAAAAAAGCTCTATTTAACTAGGGAATTGTAATAATTGAGATATTATTAATTGCATATTTCTGAAAGCAGAAAGTTGTGGTTTGGAGGAATATATGGGGGAAATTATTTGGTTTATTATTATTGGTAAATATAATTAATTGATTTATAAGAAATTGGATTGCATGGAAATAATTGGAATATTCATGTTCATATTGATTAATATACAAAAAAGGTAGTTATATAACTAATTGATTTATATTAAAATGTTGAATTTATATTAAACAACTAATATTACATAATTAACCAATGTGAGGATGGATATAAAAATAGATGACAATGGGAAGGGGTATAATATAGAATAGAAGGGAAAAATTGAATTTGATTAAGATTAGAGATGAGGATGAAGGGTAATATTGGTTTTTTACAAAAATAGATGAGGAATAAATATGGCAAAAAGGAAATATAGAAATTGTAAATTTAATTGAAATGACTAAACACTGTTTAAATTTGTGAACCGGCCAAATACTCTGTTCAAAGAAAATACATTGTATGTTTGTATGTGTGTTTCTAATTATTGTTATTTATTCATATTTGTTCTCTTTTATTCTTTAAAGTTTAACAATTCATTCTTTATCTTAATATCTTTATATTTGTTTGGGGTTGGCTTTCTTCCCTTTCATCTTTTTTATTGTACAGCAATCTTTCTCCTCAAACCTACCACCTCTCTCTTTTCTTTCCTTCTTACTTTCTCTTCCTCCCCCTCTTCTTCTCCTCCCTACTTCCTCTTCCTCCTTCTCCTCCTCTCTTCCTCCCTCTCTTACCCTCCCTCCTACTCTAATTTCCCTTCCATTCCTTCATCCCTCTCTATTGCTGTATCCTTTTATGCATGTGGACTACTCAGAGGGCTGAAAAAGTTATTTTTTTACTGGTCCTCGCACTTTTGACCAGTCCTCGAATTTACGACTGTCCTCACAATTTACGTTTTTGCCCTATCTTGTCACCATGGTGAAGAGAAGCAGTTGTGAAATGAGTGACATGGTTGTTAAGAATGCTACAATGGGCATAAATGATGACCAGTCATAAGTGCGAAGACCGGTCAAAAGTGCGAGGACCTGTCAGAAATCACTTTTTTCAGCCCTCTGGGTAGTCCTTTTGTGCATATGGACTACTCAGAGGGCTGAAAAAGTTATTTTTGACTGGTCCTCGCACTTTTGACCAGTCCTCGAACTTACGACTGTCCTCACATTTTACGTTTTTGCCCTATCTTGTCACCATGGTGAAGAGAAGCAGTTGTGAAATGAGTGACATGGTTGTTAAGAAAGCTGCACGGGCATAAATGTGAGGATGGTCATAAGTGTGAGGACCGGTCAAAAGTGCGAGGCCCAGTCAGAAATGACTTTTTTCAGCCCTCTGAGTAGTCCCTATGCACATAGCCACGCCCACCCAGTCACATGATTGCCAAGCCACACCTCCAACTAAGCCACGCCCACAGAACCTGTTGTTTAAAAAATTGAATCCCACCACTGGTGAAAGGACCTCATAAGTGGAATAGCCTAGGGCCTCTTTTCATCTAAATCCGGCCCTGATTGGGCCATTCAGGTATGAACTAAATCATATCCCTGATGAATATACAGTAGAGGTGACAAATAGATTTAAGGAATTAGATCTGATAGACAGAGTGCCTGAAGAACTATGGATGGAGGTTCGCAACATTGTACAAGAGGTAGCAACTAAAACCTTCCCAAAGAAAAAGAAATGCAAGAAAGCAAAATGGCTGTCTGAGGAAGCTTTGCAAATAGTTGAGGAAAGAAACGACGCGAAAGGCAAGGGAGAAAGAGAAAGATACACCCAATTGAATGCAGAATTCCAGAGAATAGCTAGAAGAGATAAGAATGCCTTCTTAAATGAACAGTGCAAAGAAATAGAAGAAAACAATAGAATAGGGAAGACCAGAGATCTCTTCAAGAAAACTGGAGATATAAAGGGAACGTTTCATGCAAAGATTGGCATGATAAAGGACCAAAGTGACAGGGACCTAACCTAGGCAGAAGAGATTAAGAAGAGGTGGCAAAATTACACAGAAGAACTATACAAGAACGAACTTAACGTCACTGATAACCAAGATGGGGTGGTCACTGAGCTCGAGCCAGACATCCTAGAATGTGAAATCAAATAGGCCTTAGGAAATCTGAGCAACAACAAAGCTAGTAGAGGTGACAGTATTCCAGCTGAGCTATTCAAAATCTTAAAAGATGATGCAGTAAAAGTGCTACGCTCAATTTGCCAGCAAATTTGGAAAACTCAACAGTGGCCACAGGATTGGAAAAGGTCAGTTTACATTCCAATTCCAAAAAAAGGCAATGCCAAAGAATGTTCAAACTATCTTACCATTGCACTCATTTCACATGCTAGTAAAGTTATGCTTAAAATCCTACAAGCTAGGCTCCAGCAGGATGTGGATAGAGAACTACCAGAAGTACAGGCAGGATTTCAAAGAGACAGAGGAACTAGAGATCAAATTGCCAACATACGCTGGATCGTGGAGAAAGCTAGGGAGTTCCAGAAAAACATCTACTTCTGCTTCATTGACTATGCTAAAGCCTTTGACTGTGTGGATCACAACAAATTGTGGCAAGTTCTTAAAGAGATGGGAGTACCAGACCATCTTATTTGTCTCTTGAGAAACCTATATGCGGGTCAAGAAGCAACAGTGAGAACTGGACACGGAACCACTGATTGGTTCAAAATTGGGAAAGGAGTCCGGCAAGGCTCTATGCTGTTGCCCTGACTATTTAACATATATTCAGAGCACATCATGAGAAAGGCGGGCTAGATGACTCAAAAGTTGGAATTAAGATTGCCGGAGAAAAATATCAACAACCTCAGATATGCAGATGATACCACTCTAGTGGCAGAAAGTGAAAAGGAACTAAAGAGCCTCTTGATGCAGGTGCAAAAGGAGAATGCAAAAGTTGGCTTGAAACTCAATATTAAGAAAACTAAGATCATGGCATCCGGCCCTCTCAATTCCTGGCAAATAGTTGGGGAAAAAATGGAGGTAGTGACAGATTTTATTTTCCTGGGCTCCAAGATCACTGCAGATAGAGAGTGCAGCCAAGAAATTAAAAGAGACTTGCTCCTGGGGAGGAAAGCTATGGCAAATCTAGACAGCATACGAAAAAGCATTGACATCACTCTGCCAACAAAAGTGCATGTAGCCAAGGCTATGGTTTTCCCAGTTGCAATGTATGGCTGTGAAAGTTAGACCATAAGAAAGGCTGAGCGCCAAAGAAATTGAGGCCTTTGAACTATGGTGCTGGAGAAGACTCCTGGGTCCCTTGGACTGCAAGACGATCAAACTGGTCAGTCCTAGAGAACATCAACCCTGATTGCTCTTTAGAAGGCCAGATCCTGAAGATGAAACTCAAATACTTTGGCCACCTAATGAGAAGCAAAGACTCACTGGAGAAGAACCTAATGCTGGGAATGATTGAGGGCAAAAGAAGAAGGGGACGACAGAAAATGAGGTGGCTGGATGGAGTCACTGAAGCAGTAGGCGTGAGCTGAAACGGACTCCAGAGGATGGTAAAGGACGGAAGGCCTGGAGGAACGTTGTCCATGGAGTCGCGATGGGTCCGACACCATTTCGCAAATAACAACAACAAATATTTTGTTCGGTTCAGAAATGTATCTCCGTTTGCAACACACAGCCAGGAAAGCGGGTTATTTAACAACGCTCCGCTTTTCCTTTGTCCTGAAAGGAAACCCAGAATCTCTCATTTTTTAAAAAGTCCCGTCCGTCAGTCATCGCTGCGATCTCAAGGCCGAAGTTAGCAGAGACTGGAGCAAAGTTTTCATTCCCCTCCCAACCCCACATCTTACTTTTTCTTTCCGAGGGAGCCTCCCCAGCCCGCCGGCTTGTCCGGGAAACCCAGACGGCTTCCAAGCGGGCCTCCCGAAGCTGCAGCCGCAGCCTCAGCAGCAGAAGGGCGGAGTGGAGGCGGACAGAGGGGGGGGGGGGTGTTCTCGGGCAAAAGGGAGGGAGCGAAGGAAGATGGCGGGGCGGGCGCCGGCGGGATGGGAGCCGACGAGACTGCGAAATTGAGCCGCTAGGGGAGGCCGGTGGCGGAGGCAGGAAGGAAGGAAGGGCGGGAAGCTTGCGGTGGCCTCTGCTTCCTCGGACGGGGCCCAGGGCCACTTTGAAGGGACAGCTGAGGCGGCAGCGGCTGGGCTGGTCCCGGGATCCAGGCGGAGGTGGGAGGGCGAGAGAATGGTGAATCCGGAGCGGCGGCGGCGCTGCTGCAGCCGGAGCTGCCCGCTTGTGGCCTCACGCGGCTGGGCCGCGCGCTAGTCAGGGCTGGAGGCGGCGGCGGCGGCGCGGAGCACTCGGAGCCCCGCGGCCGAAGAGCGGCTGCTGGAGGGAGAGCGCTTGCCACCGAGGCTGCGGCCCGGGAACGGCGGCGGAGCCATGCCGTGGCTCAGCGGAGGTCGGAGACGGCGGCGGCAGCAACAGCAGCAGCAACAGGCGGCGACGGCGGCGCCCGGAGGACCAGGGACGGGGGCGCCTCCTGTCGTGCCCGCTGCAGCGATCGGAGGCGGCGGCGGCGGCGGTGGTGGTGGGCCGCGAGGCCGGGAGAGCTCGGAATTGCCTTTGCCCGCTGGCTGGGAGGAGGCGAGGGATTACGACGGACGCGTCTTTTACATCGACCACAACACCCGGCAGACTTCGTGGATCGACCCCAGGGACAGGTCAGAAAGGCCGGGGAAAAGGCTCCCCTTTGAAGCCCAAGCCATTGGCGTCCTTGGCGCCCATTCTTCTCTCCCCCCTCCCTTTCCTTCCCGGAGCCCCGAATCCTGACCCTGCCCTCGATTCACACAGCGGGGCCTGTGATATTGGTAGGTAGGAAGGAAAGGTTCCAGCATCTCGGGCCTGGAGTCTGATACCCCCGCTTTGCCTTCTCGAAAGAGCCTGAATCCCTGTTTTATGTTGAGAAAGGAGAGATCTGGCTGGCTCTCAGAGAAGTTAACTTTAGAAATAGACTTCTTTTAAAGCCCAAATTATTCGTGTACGATCATTTCCGCAAGCTTTGTAGTACGGGACGAACATCTCCAATTCCTGGATATGAAAACTCCATTTTGTTCTCCATCGTTCTCTTTAACTTGAGATGGCCAATGAATAAGTAGTAACTTATTCAAAGTTAGTACAACAAGATTTGCTTTTCAACTGCAGTTTTTTAATAGATCTGAAGTAAGAGCAGATATGTCCATGTATTGCTTTCTAGGACAACACCTCTTAATTTTGCTGACTAGAAAGCAGTCCTGTCTTTGTTATCAGTATCCCAGTGACATTGACAATGTATCGCTTTACATAGTAGAAAAAAGATTTCTCTCCGGTGTTTTAATTATTTCTCTCCGGGAAATATTTTTAAAAGATTTATGTCAAATATTGTAAATTTAACATGAAAACTGAAATACTGTTAAATAATTCTAAGTGTTCTCTTAAAACTACCAGCCACATGTCTGTGTGCTCTATCACTGCAGAATTATTGTAATAATGAATCAGGATGATATCTGAGATAATATAGCAGATTGTTTATGGGGAATTTTTTTTTGTTAAACTTTAAACAAATAAATGCACAAACCTCATGTTCAGGTACTAATTCTGTCCATACACAGAAAACAAGTTGGTTCAGTTAAATGTACTATGTAAACTTAGGTATCATTTGTAGCTAGGACTTTTGTAGCTGGGACTACTGAATCTGATTCAATGACAAAGAAACCCAAAGTGCTTTTTTTTTTGGTATTTGTTAACTTTTCATTTATTGGTTTTGGATGTCAGAAAGCTGTATATCTTTTTAAGAGCCACTGACAAATACTGAATATGAATCTAGGTATTTAAGCTGCAAGTGACAGTTTGGTATGGTGGTTAAGGCTTCAAACTACAAAAGGTAGAAACTGGGAGATTGTGAGTTCTACTGCCTGAGGCACAAGTCAGCTGGGTTATCTTGAACCAGGCACTTTCTCTCAGCCTTAAGGAAGAGGCAATGGCAAGACACTTCTAAAAAATCTTGTCAAGAAAACTGCAGGAACTTGTCCAGTCAGTCTGAGAATTGAACACAATTGAACAAAAGGAAAAAAAATTGAAGCTGCAGAGCAGCTTTTCCCCCCTAATTAATTGTAATTACTTGGATTTCCACGTCTAATTACGCATCAGACTATTTTAGTATTAATAGGACAATATTATATTAACATACTCCACACATACTTTCTATATTAAGGAAATACTGCATAAATTATATTACAATTTTAACATTACCATAAATTTACTGAGCGGTGAAATTATCCATTATTTATATTTACAGTTTTGTCATACTAATCTTGAAAATGCAAATGCAATTAATAATAATAGTTAGAAAATTTTCTGGCAAGTCATAGGTGAATTTTTAAAGGTTCAGGAGCATAACTTAATACTTCGTTTTTCACTTGTGTTTTGGAGAATGTCCCTAGCTGTCACTAGGAATTCTAAGTGGTTACTGTGTAGAATGTCTATGGAGATTCTCAGTCATCCAGGTCATGGGTTGTCCCAAAGGTGTTTTTTCAAAGGGCAACTGAACTTTCTTGTTTTTCTTTGAAGATTCTTCTTCTTGAAGACATTACTTGGGACATTACAATGTATGGATGAAGTTATAGTTCCTGTAGAGTAAGGCATAGGAATATTTAATGTGCTTTCAGGGACCATGTGAAATTGACTGTAAACTGAGACTGCATAGGGACATTTAATATACAAATCTTTTTTGGAAAGGTTTTGTAAGGTTTATTATGGTTGTATTCTGTGCCAGGCTGGCATTCTTTATGTGTACGATGGTATTGCTGGTTGAAAATCATAAGAATATAATCCTAGTATCTATAAATGACACCAGAGTGAGAAAAGCTATAACTTCTGATCAAAGTGAGAAATGTAGTAAAACATCTATGTGCACCTTTGGAAATGCTTATTGAACATTAATACTATTAAATTTGCTTGACTGTAGTTTAGAAATTAATTTGGCTGAGTGGTCTTTACAGCGGTCCCACCATCACATTACCATTGGGTTAATATTAAGTGGCTAGATATTCCTGGCTTCAGTCTCCTTTTTTCAATCAATAGAAACAACTTTGTTTCTGATGCACACCAGGATTGAAAAACAGTTGGTGCTAAGGATTTAATGGGAGTCCAAGGTCTATAGTTACTACAATGGTTCTTGGCAGATTCTAAGTCCTAAACATGTAGTGTATGCCGAGAATGTGATTAGGGTAAGAAGAGTCTTTTAAAAGAAATTGTGTATGCCATTTGTTTATTCCATTTTTATGCCTAATTTATATTCTGGATTTATATCAGTATATTTGGCTGCTAAGCCAGATGGCAAAATTTGATTGCTGGGTTGAGAATGGACGTGGGATTTGAGATGTAGCAGCTTGGATTCATCTTTCTTTCTCCCTGTTTAAAAAGATGAGAAATAGATATCAGGACTACTACTTTAAGATTATTTTTGTGCAAGTGACTGATGTTGCTAAAAGATGTGTGACTGCATAACTGTTTAATGTATTAAGAAAACAAACGTTTGTCAGTATTGTGTGGTTTTGTGAAAAAAATATGTATTTGTTCTCATGAATTATGCATTCAAGACTACTATACATACTTTGGGTATTAGCCACCGGTACCTGGCAAAAAATAATTCTGCAATGTTAAATAATTGCTAAAAAGATTTGTTGTGAGTTTGTAAAAGGAAGTAAGAAAATTGTAAAATTCCTGTTTTGATACTTTAATAAAGGAGTAAAGCTAGCTAATTTGCAGTAATTTTCAACATTTCAAAACAAGTCTTTTCATAATATTTTTGTGTCTACTACATAATTACATTTCATGCATTTTTAATATAATTGAATTAATATAATTGGAAGTATATCATTAGTTTAAGTATGCTTAAGAATTGGGATAAGAAATTTATTTTGAGTTAGTCTATAGTATAAAAAGTCTCTCTCTATATAGTGTATATATATATATATATATATATATATATATATATATATATATTTGTTTTCTGAGGTTTTCGCGGGTGTGTGTATGTAGGTCTTTGGTTATTCGGGTTTTCTCCCGCGTAAAATTGGAGGTGTCTTGGCAACGTTTCAACGAAGTCTCATTCGTCTCTTCAGGCTGGTGTTCTCGGCTTCGTGCTCTAGAAGCACGAAGCCGAGAACACCAGCCTGAAGATGACGAATGAGACTTCGTCGAAACGTTGCCAAGACACCTCCAATTTTATGCGGGAGAAAACCCGAATAACCAAAGACCATATACATATATATATATATATATATATATATATATATATATATATATATATATATAGTATAAAAAAGTCTATAGTTCAAAAAATAGGTTGCAGTGTGACATAGGGCACCAGGGACCGGTTCCATGGAGAAAGGTTTTTCCGTGGACTGGAAGGGATGTGGTTTTGTGTATTGCCTCCATCCTGGTTTTGCTGTTTTAAATAGATTTTTTGCTCTATTTCCATTACAGATGAAATGAAGGCATTTATGTTAAAGATACCTGCCTTGATTAATTGGAAATCACCAACTTTCTTTGAAACATTTGTGTGTATATTTTGAAGCTTATCTTTGCTACTACAAGGGATAAAAAAAGAATAAATGTAATAAAATGTTTACTTGTGCAAACAAAATATTTTTCCTTTTTTTGGCATAGATGTGTACAATTTCTGGGCTTTGAATCAAATTGTCACGAAATTACAATTTGAATTTGATAGGGAATGTGAGTGAAGAAGTAGAAAAGAATAATTATCTAATTAAATACCAGTTAATTTATAATTATATTATACTTTTCTCTGCTTCATGATGTTTCAAATTTCAAGCCACTGCATTCTTCTCAAAGGTTATCTGTAGCCCACAGCATGAAATATATTATATGCCATCCTGATAGGTATAAGTTATGAGTTCATAAGAGATGCTTTGGGAATAGTACGTTTCTATATATCAATATTAGGCAACTAGTCTGTAAAAGTATATTATTGCATCCAGGGTGGATTTGATTTAAATCAAGTCGATTTAAATCATGATTTAAATCACTAGTAAAAAGACTTGATTTAAATCAACTCGGATTTAAATCATAATTTTTAAAGAGCAACTGTCATCTCTGCTACTCCTTTGACCTGCTATTGACTCACCGATAGTCCCAGTGTTGCAGAATATACAGACTTGTGCTACATAACTAAGCTCCATT